AAGTGTCTGGACACAAGATTAACTCAAAAAAATCAGTAGCTCTCCTATATACAAATGACAAATGGGTTGAGAAAGAAGTCGGAGAAACATCACCCTTCACAATAGCCACAAATAATATTTTTTAAAAAATCTTGGGGTAACTCTAGCCAAACAAGTGAAAGGTGAAAGACCTGTATGACAAGAATGTCAAGTCTTTGAAGAAGGATATTGGATATCAGAAGATGGAAAGATCTTCCATGCTCATGGATAGGTAGGATTAACAGAGCAAAAATGGCCATCTTACCAAAAACAATCTACAGATTCAACACAATTTCTATCAAAATCCCAACACAATTCTTTACAGACCTTGAAAGGACAATACTCAACTTCAAATGGAAAAAATAAAAAACTCAGGATAGCTAAAACAATCCTGTACAATAAAAGAACTTCTGGAGGTATCACCATCCCTGATTTCAAGCTGTAGTACAGAGCTATATTAATTAAAAAAAACTGCATGGTATTGGCATAAAAACAGGTAGATCAATGGAATTGAATCAAAGACCCACACCTATGGACATCTAATTTTTGATAAAGAAGCCAGAAATACACAATGAAAAAAATAAAGTATCTTCAACAAATGGTGCAGATCTAACTGGGTGTCTACATGTAGAAGAATGCAAATAGATCCATATCTATCACCCTGCACAAAACTCAAGTCAAGTGGACCAAAGACCTCAACATAAAACCGGATACACTGAACCCGATAGAAGAGAAAGTGGGAAATAGCCTTGAACAAATTGTCACAGGAGACAACTTCATGAACAGAACACCCATAGCACAGGCACTAAAATCAACACTTAATAAATGGGACCTCATGAAACTGAAAAGCTTCTGTAAGGCAAAGGACACTGTCAATAGGACAAAAAGGCAGCAGATGGAATGGGAAAAGATTTTCACCAACCCCACATCTGACAGAGGGCTGATCTCCAAAATATATAAAGATCTCAAGAAACTAGACATCAATAAACTAAATAATCTAACTTAAAAATGGGATACAGATCTAAACAGAGCATTCTCCATAGAGGAATCTCAAATGGCCAAGAAACACTTAAAGAAATGTTCAACATCCTTAGCCATCAGGGAAATGCAAATCAAAATGACTTTGAGATTTCATCTTAGCTGGGCGGTGGTGGCACCTGTAATCCCAGCACTTGGGAGGCAGAGGCAGGTGGATCTCTGTGAGTTCAAGGCCAGCTTGGTCGACAGAGCTAGTCCAGGACAGGCTCCAAAGCTACAGAGAAACTCTGTCTTGAAACCCCACCCCTCAAAAAAGAGATTTCATCTTACACATGTCAGAATGGCTAAGATCAAAAACACAAATGACAGCTCATACTGGCAAGGATATGAAGCAAGGGGAACACTCCTCCATTGCTGGTGGGAGTGCAAACTTGTACAGTCACTTTGGAAATCAACATGGCAGTTTCTCAGAAACTTGAGAGTCAATCTTCCTCATGACCCAGTTATACCACTCCTGGACATATACCCAAAGGACGCTCCATCATACCACAAGGACTCTTGCTCAACTATGTTCATAGCAGCTTTATTCGAAATAGTCTAAAACTGGAAACAACCTAGATACACCTCAACTGAAGAATGGATAAGAAAATGTGGTATGTTTACACAATGGAGTAGTACTTGGCTGTTAAAAACAATAACATCATGAAATTTTCAGGTAAATGAATGGAACATGAAAAAAATCATCCTCTGTGAGGTAACCCAGATGCAGAAAGACAAACATTATATGTATTCACTTATAAGTGGATATTAACTGTTAAAGTAAAAAATAGTATACTACAGTCCACAGACCCAAAGAGGCTAAGTAACAAGGAGGGCTCAGTAGGGAATGCAAGGCTCTCCCTGGGAAGGGGAAATAGAACAGATTTCATGAGTGGACTGGGGGCAGGTTGGATTGGGAACAGAAGGGATTAAGTTGGGTGGGGAAGTAAATACTGGGGAAAATGACTGGAATTACAGGGTGGGCATTTCAGGGGCAAGGCAGAAACCTAGTGCAAAGGAAACTTCATGGAATCTACGAGAGGAACCCTAGCAAAGACTCCTACTAATAGGTGACACAAAGCCTGAACCAGCCATCTTCTGTAAGTAAGCATAATGGAAAGAGATGCAGAATCCCACAGCCAACCATTAGGCAGACTTGGGGGTGGGGAGGAGGAAGGATTGGAGGAACCAGAGGAGTCAGGGACACCACAAGAACTCGGCCCACAGAATCAATTGACTGGAACTCATGGGGGCTCACAGAGATCAGGGAACCTGTAGGGGTCTGACCTAGGTCCTCTGCATGTATGCTATGGCTGAGTAGCTTAGTATTCTTGTGGGAATCCCTAACAGTGGGAGTGGAGGCAGTTGTGGACTCTTTTGCCTTGATTTGATAGTATGTGCCTGGTCTTATAGTAGTATATTATATTTGGTTGATGTCCCTGGGAAGCCTGCTCTTTTCTGAGGGGAGACAGAGGGAGGGTGACCTGGGGGAGAGAGGAGGTGTGAGGGAGAGACAGGAAGGAGGGGAAGGAGGGGAAACTGTGATCTGGATGTAATATATGAGAGAAGACTTAAAAAAAAAAACTGACCCATGCATTCATGTTTGAACATGCTTCGATTATCTCCAAAAAGAGTAAGGACCAATCTCCGGGAACGAGGGCTGGAGTCTGAGGCAGAAGTAAGCCACTTCCTGTCCATGTGGCCCAAATTTCCATGGCAGGTCTGTGGCTCTGTAGGAGAATGAGAGGAACTGGAGAAACCTGAACTTACACATACACACCCATACCCACACTCACATACACACACACACACACACACACACACACACACACACACACACACTCACACAGACACACACATCACACACATGCACACACTCACATACACCACACACACACACACACACATCAACTGAAGCAGAATCGTGGTGCTGAGGCACCTCTAGCCTTCTGCAGGCCACAGGGTGGGCTCGACCTGGCTGCTGCCTCACTGTCCTTTCTGAAGCTGGAATTCCTTTGCTGCTGTAGCTGGGTGGGAGGAGTCCAGGGCCCTGCCAATGGGTGCAGATCACGGGGACCCCGCGAGTGAAAGGGGGTCCTACAACAGAGACTCAGGTCACAGCCACTCAGTGCACACAGGATACGTATCCAAAGGTGTTCACCGGCCGGTGAGGAGTGGGAAGAAAGGGTTCAAACAAGGACCCGGAGTTCCAAGAGGCCGAGGGCGCAGGCATGGACCAGGAGGGGCCGAACTCCTTAGAGAATCAGGGGGTGGCAGCAGAATCTCACCATCACATTTGAGCCTCCTGAGGTAGAGCAGAGCTGGGAAGGAGGGCAGGAACAGAGGAGCTCTGAGACCCACGGGAGCAGCCAAGAAAGAGCTGAGAGAGGGGAATCTGGGAGCCTGCCGGCTTCGTGGCAGCAACCCCTGTGGTCACCCATGTTTACAACTGCAGGCCACCATCTTGAAATTCTCCATGGTTTTCCCTTTGAGCCTGTGTCTCTGCAAGGACAGCGGTGCCCGGGCAAGAATAACAGCCAGCCGGAATGACAGCCAGTAAGAGGACACAGTGCACCCGGCCTGGCTCCATGTGCAGAGCCCCAGGGAGATACAGACAGAACAGAGCTCTGGCTCCCGAGACACAAGGCCTTCTGGGAAACTCAAGCAGCCAAGAACCTCTGGCCAGCCCTTTCCTGGTGGCCCTCATTCTGCTCCGGCCAAGGCGGAAATAGGAACAGGAGCAGAAGCTGGGCCTTGGCAGCGCAAAAGTGTGGCTTAGACTTGAACAGCTCGAGCATGGCCGCGGCCTGACGGTGGCCTAAACGTGACTGGTGACTAGATGGAACGACAATGTGTTTATGTGCCTTCTGTGGAGCTCTGGCACACACAGGCCTGAAGCACTGGCAACGGCCGCCAGGCCAGTAAACCTCAAAAGCATGCTCCGTAATAAAAGTCACGTTCAACAGGCTGCACACTGCCGGATCCCGTTTGCGTGACATGACCAGAACAGACAGACGCAGAAGCAGAGAGCAGAGTGGTGGTTGCCAAGGTCTGAGGGCCCAGGGGACTAACGGGAGACCCCTGGGAGGCACGGGCTTTCCTTTGGGGCTGGTAGAAACGGCCTGGAATAAGAGCCTGAGGTTACAGCCTGAGAGAGCTTCCCCTGAGACCTCATATTCAAAGCTGAGAGGCCACCAGTGATGAACTCGGGCCAGACAGAGGCGTGTGGCCTGTGCCACCGGCTGGTGGTGACAGCCAGTAAGCACACAGTCACTCCGGGTCATTACACTTCCCTGCAGGAGAATCGAGGAAATGTCCCGAGAGCAATGGGGGCACGGTGCCCAGCAGGACATCCCATCCTGGCCCATGACACACTTGGCGCAGTACGGACCCTTCTGGGAACTGGCCCTTCCGATGTGCGCTCCACGGGCAGCTGCTTCTTCATGTCCCGCCCTATACTCTCTGCAAAGAGCCAGCGTCTCCTCATTCTTATAGAAAATTGCAGAAAACTCCAGAAAAGCCCCAGGAGAGTAAGTCAGCCTCTGAGGTAGCCCCTGAGGCTTGCTCGACACCGCCTGTCCTGTTTCCTATGTGACAGATTTGGAGCTCAGAATGTCCCTTGATTGTAAAGGGTTCCAACCCAAAGATTCAAAGTGACCCCTTCACATTTGTTAGGAGTCCTATTTCTTCCTTCTCTGCTCCTTAATTTTCTTTATTTTCGTAATAAATATGTATGACATTTTAAATGGAAGAAAATGATCACCCTTACAAAGGACTTTTAAAAAAAAAAACTGTGGCCTCCAATTGTGGCACTCACTCCTGGCAGCCTGGGCCTGCTCGGTCCATGTGTCCAAGAAGGAAGTGTTTCAGCCCGTCTAGGGCTCTGCCAGCCTGCCCCTCCACCCCCGCCCCTGAAGTCTTCCTCCTGCGGGTCCTTTAAATGCATCCCAGGCACGCAGGCTGCCATCCGTCACCTGCCCGCCATCTGTCACCTGCCCACCATCGTCACCATGCGCTGCTTCATCAGCCTTGCTCTCGGCCTGCTGGCCCTGGAGGTGGCCCTTGCTCTGAATCCACTGGAACAAGTCTTCAACGCAGGTAGGCCCCCGATGTTCACCTCACTGCTGGTCAGGAAGGCCACAGCTGTTCACCTCACTGCTGGTCAGGAAGGCCACAGCTGTTCACCTCACTGCTGGTCAGGAAGGCCACAGCTGTTCACCTCGCTGCTGTAAGTGGCTTGGAGAGTCCCCCAAATTGTTCCCAGATCTCCAAGCCCAGGGCAATGAAGAGGCGAGGAACAAAAGCCCCCCCGCCCCTTAAGGAAAATCCAAAGATGGCAGAAAATCAGGGACCTGTGTGGAAAATGTCCAGGTTGAGAGATAGGTTGATGGGAGTTGCCCTCAGGCCCTGGTCATTTCTAGTCAGGTCCTTAATGCTCTGCCTATGACCACGAGCCTGTGACGTGCTTCTCAAATTTCACAGCTGACTTCTTATGTGCCTATCACCCAGGCCACAACCCTGGCGGATTTTCACCTTTAAGGCTGCTCAGAGCCTGGGTTTCTTGCCATTTCCATCCACATCTCCAGGCCTTCTTCTGAGAAGAGGTGACAGCTAGGCCCTGATTTACCTCCCCGTCTTTTGTGCAGTTCAGCTCATGTGTCCTGAAGCCAGGCTCAGTGAGGGTGCAGAGTGTATCAACTGTCGCACCATTGCGGAGTGTGCCCAGAATGCTGCCTGCTGTCCCAGTTCCTGTAGTGCCATCTGCAAAACTCTTGTCAACAGTAAGGCCCTGCCCGGTCCTGGGGGGGGGGGTCAGGGGGGAGGAGCCAACAGGGTCAAGAGTCTGCCTGAAGAGGATGCACAGACCTTTGCACCCACGCACACTAACTCTGTGAGAGCCACTCACCTGCCAGACCCTCCCTGCAGCCTTCTGGCCACCCTGGTCCCTGGGGTCTCTGGGTCACCAAGGGCACTGCCTGACAGCCAGAGCAAAGACCTCAGCAGATGCCCCGTCCACAAAAATGGGGTCTTTCCAGCCAGGGGGGTCAGTAAGGTGGATTCAGCAAAGCTGGGGCATGAAAGGGATTTGGGTGGTAAGAGAGTGGCCATCTCTCCCCAGTTGATGTTCCAAAGATTGGCCACTGCCCCTGGAATCCAGTCAACATGGTCTCTGCTGGGCCATGTCCACAGGAGAGCACATGCTTCAGAGACAGTGACTGTGACGGCAACATGAAATGCTGCCGCATCGGCTGTGCCATGAGTTGCCAGACTCCACAAGCAGGTATGCAGCCTTGAGACCCCGCAGTCCCCTTTCTCTCTAGGCCTCCTCTGGCCGTCACCTTGCCCTTCATCAGGCCCAAGAACAGGTAGAACGTGAGATCGGCCCCAGGGCTAGGTCCCAGAGGTAGGAGGAGAACGTCTTGGCCAAGCCACATTACACCACCTTCAGGCTTACGGGTACTTGACGGGGCTGCTCACGATAGGAATGGGTGTCAATGGGCAAGGCCTGGGGAAACAGACCATCCTACCACTCAAAGCTGGTCCTGGTGAGGTTATGAGCCACACTGGACCTTTCACAGTTAACCTGAGGTAGCAGTGTTCAGAGTTAAGAACATGAGCAAGACACAGGCTCAAACCCAACGGTCCATGTCTCCCTGTGACCTGGGCATCCCTGTTGTAGGTGAGGGTGTCTCACCCACGTGCCTATCAGTGATGGGGGGGGGGGGCGTGTAAAGAATTGTATATGCTCACCTGCAAAGCCCATAAAAGTGGCTGCCCTTCAGGTCCCTAGAATGATGGGTATGACTAGGTCAGAAGCAGAGGTAACCCCCCTCTCTCTTCCTCCCCACCCATAGCCCCTGTAGAGGAACGCCTTCAGTGAGCAGCCTGCCCTGGGATCCCTGCCTGCCAGGTGCAACCAGCCCAAGCTTGTTCCGCAAGAACCTTCATTCCTGGATCCAGAGAGAACATAATGCCTTCTATCTGCTGCTAATAAAAATCCATTTGGCTCTATGTCTCTGTCTGTCTGTCTGTCTGTCCTGAGCTCCTGAAGGACTGACAAAGCAAGCATAGGCCTGCCTTACCCGAGGATCTCCAGGGTGGAGAGGCGGCCACAGGTCATTCCTCAGTGGTGATGAGCATGCATGGGAGGGCGGGATGCTGAGTCAGGCCTTGCTGAGCTACCGCCAAACTCCATCACTACTGGGGTACCACAGTGGATCTCAGGACCAGGAGAGGCCTCCTCACCTGGCGCCAGGGTTATGAGCTAGGTCTTCTCCATCTGAACCCTTCTAAGATGTGACCAACCCTAGCGAGCCTCAGGACAGGGCAGAAAGCCGAGTCTGCAAGGGACGTCAAGGCCCTGAAGCCTTAGCCTCGTGGCAGCAGGGAGTGAGCGAGGCACAGCAATGGAGTGTGCAAGATAAGGTCGGCCACGCACTGGCACAGCTCCAAGCCAGACCCGTGTAGCGTCTAAGCAAGGTGTGTGCGCGCTGCTCAGACACAAGCCGCGTAACCCATAGCTCATGCCGATCCCGACACTGTCAGCCTGGGTTCACATCAGACGCCACGAGTTAGGGTTCAGTTCCGACTTCAGACACCAGCTCCACGTCTGGAGCCTCCCACACTCCTGCTTCCGTCACTTCCACTGTCCCTTTGTAAGTGTCTGGGCAGAAGCAGAGATGTTCTAAAGAGACACTCTGGGCTATCAGGCTTCTGAGAGCATGGCTGTCAAGGACTGGCACTTTTTCAGGAGCCTCACTCCGGGCAGAGCTGAAGCTCTGGTCCCGTCAGAGGAGGAAGCTGCCTCCTGCACTGGGTGGTTGGTTTGGTTTGGTTTGGTTTGGTTTGGTTTGGTTTGGTTTGGTTTGGTTTGGTTTGTCAACTTGACCCCAGCCATGGTCAGCTAGAAAGAGGGAACCTCATTCGAGAGTCCCTCAGACTGGCCCGTGCACATGTCTGTGGGGCATCTTCCTGATTCGTAATTGATGTGGGAGGGCCCAGCTCACTATAGGTGGTGCCAGCCTAGGCAGGTGGCCCTGGGGTGTATAAAAAAACAAGCTAAACAAGTCAGGGTGAGCAAGCCAGGAAGGTCATTCCTCCATGGTCTCTGCTTCCGTTCCCCCTTGAATTCCTGCCCTGACTGAAGTCAGCCCTCTCCTCCCACCAAGTAGCTTTTGATCAGGATCCTTCTCACAGCAACACAAACTTCACAAGAGGAGATTTCACGTGGTGCTGACAGCGACCAGACCTCCTTGCCCTTGGATAAACTGCAGCAGAAACAATGATGGGTCAGTGATGGGCAGCACCACATCTTGACCAGGACTGCTCGGGTGTGCATACCTCTTGCCCCCATGCAAGCCTGAACCTCGTTTCAGGACCTCAAAGGCGGACCTGTGGAGTCTATGGGCCTCTTCATTTGTTCCTCTTCCCAGCGTGGTCTCACTGAATAAACCTCCTTGCTCTGCTTTTCACTACAAAATGGCCTTTACTTGCTGCGCAGGTGGCTAAGCCTAGCTTGTTAGGGCTGCCAGAGCCCGGGCTTTGACACTAACTACTCCAGAAATAACTTCAAGTTAAACAAGTCATGATTCACAGGAGTCACTACAAACACCTGCCTTACAGATATGCATTTGTCATGAAGGACACAGATCAGGAGTAACTAGATTGTCACAGTCAATGTTCTATTGCTATGAATAGACACTGTGACCGTGACAATACTTATAAAGGAAAACATTTAACTGGGGCTGGCTTACAGTTTCAGAGGTTTAGTCCATTATCATCATGGTGGAAAGCATAGTGGTACTCAGGCAGACATGGTGCTGGAGAGGTAGCTGGGAGTTCTACATCTGGATCCACAGGCAGCAGGAAGAGAGAGTGACACTGGGCCTGGCTTGGGCTTTTGAAACATCAAAGCCTAGTGACACACTTCCTCCAACAAGGCCACACCTCCTAATCCCTGTCAAGTGGTGTCAGTCCCTTATGATCAAGCATTCAAACATATGAGCCTCCAGGGGTGGGGACTTCTTATTCAAAACACCACGCAGATGAGGGGACGTAGGGTGGGGGCAAGAAGAGGAAGATGTAGGAATGTCTTTCCCTATGGGACAGACACCTACCCAACACAGCAGGAGTTCTCCTATGCATCCATGTCCGGAGCTTTCAGGAAGGTTTCATTACATAATCATGATTGATTAAACCACTGACTGTTGGTGGCTGAATTCAATCACCTACCCCTTTCTCCTACCTGGAGGTCATGAGTAGATCTGAGAGGTCCAGCCCACTAATCCTGTGCCTGGTCTTTGTGGTAACCAGCCCCATCTGAATCTACAGAAGCCCCCATGTGACCAGCCCCCATTTGAAGCCATGGAACCCACCATCTGAAGGCCCTATATTGGGAAAATAATCATTTTGATGTCACACAGAGGAATACACAAAAGAACCAAAAGCAATTCAGCAAGGCAATTTCTTTTTGCAAAAAGAAATGTGTGGCCGGGCGGTGGTGGCGCACGCCTTTAATCCCAGCACTCAGGAGGCAGAGCCAGGCGGATCTCTGTGAGTTCGAGGCCAGCCTGGGCTACCAAGTGAGTTCCAGGAAAAGGCGCAAAGCTACACAGAGAAACCTTGTCTCGAAAAACCAAAAAAAAAAAAAAAAAAAAAAAAGTGTGTCAGAACCCAAACCAGGCTTGAAAGCACTCTTGGCCAAAATGGCCTCTATCTTTTATCTGTGATGTAGGTGGTGACTGTGTTCATCCCATTGGTGGGAGCTCAACTTCACAATTCACTGGCTTGCATTGTGATGCAATTAGCTAATGAGTATAAAGAGGAAGGAGGGGACTCGGGAAATATGAGTCTTTGTTAGGCTAATTCGGTGGGAAAACATAAAACAAAAATGTTTCTCATACCCATCTGTACTGGCTGGTTTTATGTGTCAACTTAACACAAGATAGAGTGTTGGAGCCCGCAAAAGTTGCCTAGTGAGATCTGAGCTTGCTTTACCAGTAGGGCTGCATAACAGAATGATTGGACCATGGGCCTGGCTACCAGGTGTTTGGTAGGGTCTACACTTGGCTATATCTAGCAAGTCAAAAGGAGAGCAGTCTTTTGCCTTATCCTTTGGCATTGTTATAAAAAGCCCTTTTGAATAAAGTTCTGGGCCAGTGGATTAGGACCCAGGCCCTCCCAAGGAGATCCTATGTTTCTCTCTCTCTCTCTCTCTCTCTCTCTCTCTCTCTCTCTCTCTCTCTCTCTCTCTCTCTCCCCTCTATAATTCTATCTAAATCTCTTATCCCTCACTCCTCAAGAGTACCCTGGGGGGAAAAGGTGGAGGCACACTAGAGTCATTAGAGGGGAAGGAGCCTCATTTGAGGAAATGCCTCCATGAGATCCAACTCTAAGGCATTTTCTCAATTAGTGATCAATGGGACACAGCCCAGCCCATGGTGGGTGGTGCCATCCCAAGGGCTGGTGATCTTGGGTTCTAAGAAAGCAAGCTGAGCAAGCCAGGGGAAGCAAGCCAGTAAGCAGCACCCCTCCATGACTTCTGCATCAGCTCCTGCCTCCAGATTCTCTGCCTGCTTGAGTTCTTGTTCTGACTTCCTCCGATGATGGACTATGATCTGAAAGTATAAGCCAAATAAACCCTTTCCTTCCCAACTTGCTTTATGGTCATGGTGTTTCACTGCAACAATAGAAACCCTGCTGGGCGGTGGTGGCACAAGCCTTTAATCCCAGCACTCAGAGGCAGAGGCAGGCGGATCTTTGTGAGTTCGAGGCCAGCCTGGTCTACAGAGTGAGTTCCAGGAAAGGCACAAAGCTACACAGAGAAACCCTGTCTCGAAAAACCAAAAAAAAAAAAAAAAAAATAGAAACCCTAACTGAGACACCATGTGAAGCTATAATTTGACAGCATTCCCAAATGAATTGGGTCAAACTAGAGTAGTATTTTATAGCAATTTCCTCTGAGATAAAACCCTCTGTCTTGGAGAGAAGCTTATAAAGGCACAGAGTTTTCTAAAGGGGATGGGGGTGGCTAAAACATTCCATCCTGCAGAGAAGTTAGTTAAAACTCAAGAAGTAAACAACTCAAAAGTTTCAGGAAGTCCCTGAAACTGAAAACATGTTCTAGGTCCCTCACACTCCAAATTTATGTAAGCAGTAAGAACTGCTGAAAGACACTCTCAGACCAGCAAGCTGCATAGAAAACACTCAGAACTGAGCTGTTTGGACACTCTCCAGGCCTGTTGAGCTACCTGCAGGCTGTGCAGTGTGCTCCAGGTTTCCAGTTTTCATGAGCCATTACCCATACAGGGTGGGCTTTTGGTAATTAAGTTGTCTTTAAGTCATTTCTGCTCCTATATATAACCCCTCTGTGGTAGTTTAAATGAAAATAGCCTCTTAGGCTCTTATGTTTGAATATTTGATCCCCAGTTGGTGGAACTGCTTGGGAAGGATTCGGAGGTGTGACCTTTCGGAGGAGATATGCCACTGAGGTTTCAAAAGTCCATGCCATTCCGTGAGTGTGCGTGTGTGTGTGTGTGTGTGTGTGTGCGTGTGCGTGCGTGCGTGCGTGTGTGCCTGCTACTTGTGGATCAAGATGCAAACCTTCAGCTCCTGCTCCAACACCATCCATGCCTGCCTGCTGCCATGCTCCCCACCATGATGATCATGAACTCTAACCCTCTGAAACTGTAATCTCCCAATAAACTCTTTCTAGATGTTGCCCTAGTCATAATGGCTTATCACAGCAATAGAAAAGTAACTAAGACACCCTCACCCATACTCCTATAAGTAACGCATAAAAATTATTGGTTCACTAAATAGGACTTTGATGGTATCCTTACTATCTAGGCTGAGTAGACGTTTGTTCATGTCTCCCTGGAAATAGTCACACAACACCTTCATAGCAAATGCTGTTAACTGTGCTCAGATTCTCTACTCTCAGCTGGCTAGAGGCTTTGACTAGACAGACTATTGGGTCCTTTCACCTCTTGTCCCCCCCCCCTTTTTTTTTC